TTCCATGTTATTACAGCCTTACAGGAAGCCAGCCTGGCCTGGCTGTCAACCAGCAGCAATTTATGGGCCTTGGGGGCAGAGGGAGGGAGAAAGGGGAAGAGAAAGGAAAACACAGCCCTCCTCCCCCACAAAAAAATTGATCCGGAGTTATTTTTAGGTGCTTACTCATCCCACACATTTCTTTTTAAAAGCCACGACATGGGCTCTCTTCAAAAACCATTTAGCAGGAGATAGCTGCTCACACAGGCGCAATAGGGAGGGGGGCACCTGTGAGCACTGGGCCTGCATGAAAAGGCGGGAGAGTGACAAGGTCTTCAAGGAGCCTCCTCACAGTAAAAACAGCCCAGGATTCTGCAGGCAGAGTAGGGAGGCTGAATGAAGAGAAGCTTTCAAGTCAGAATCACAGAGTTCAAGTCCTACCTCCAGCTTTCTCTTGTACAGCCTGGGGCGGGTCACTAGGAAAATCAGATGGGACCCTGGGCTGGAACCCTGGCCACATGTGGCTTTGGGCAAGTCACTCAAGCTCTCTGTGCTCAATTTCCCCATCTACAAAATAAGGCTAGTTAATGTATGTAAAACACTTGGAAAATTGCCCTCATTCCTAGTGTTATATGAGTTAGCTACCATTTCTATTATAGCACCATACATACGTTAATTATTACTGTCAGTAATAATAATTTAAAGTAAATATGGAGTAGGATAGAATATGAAGCCACAGAAGACCTGAGGTAGAGAAGAGGTAAAATTGCAGAAAGTTGTATTCACAACTCAACGCCTGCCAAGGATGGGTGTGGAAGAGGCCTTACGCTCGTGTAGGTGTGAAGGCTGAGACTGAGTTTCTCCTCCTGTCAATGGGGTAACACCTGCTCTTGGGGCGCTAATGCAAATGGAAGCCCACAGCACGGCCCACAGGAGGCGCTCAGTGATGCTAACTGACTCTGAAATCACCTCTCCTTAGTGTGACGGCGACTTCGGTGGGTCAACTTGACTGGGTCACAGGTTGCCCAGATATTTGGCTGAACATTATACCCAGGTGTGTCTGTGAGGGTGCTCCTGGAGGAGATTAGCATTTGAATCGGTGGACTGAGCACAGAATATGGCCCTCCCCAATGTGGGTGGCCACCATCCTATGCTGAGGGCCTGAACAGAACAAAAAGGTGGAGGAGGGGAGAATTCAGTTCTTTTTCTGCTTAACTTCTTGAGCTGGGACATCGGTCTTTCTCGGCCTGGAACTTACGCCACCAGCTCCCCTGATTCTCAGACTTTTGGACTCAGACTGAATTAGACCGCCAGCTCTCCTGGGGTCTCTAGCTTGCAGATGGCAGCGTGAGCCGATTCCCTATAATCAATCAACCAACCAACCAATCTCTCTCTCTCTATGTGTGTGTGTGTGTTTTGTTTCTCTGGCTGCCCACTGAATCAGAACCAGACCACTCTAGAATCTGTCCTCTCTCTGCCAGCCATCACACCTCTTTGCACGGCCGCCTTCCACCCCCCGCCTCCCCAACACCTGCCTGCCTCCCTGCTGCCCCTTCTGCCTTCGACACCCCATACATATTAACCCAGCCCTTATCGACCTCTCTCTTCTAGTTCCATCCAGTAAACCTTTACTGAGTGTCTACTGTATGCATGGCACCGGGTTAAGTGCTGTGACTACTGAGATAAATAAAGCCAGAGTTTCAGCCCCCCAATCATTTCAAGACAATGTGGGGTTTACCTCCATAAGAAGTGGTGCAGTGCCCAGGGAGCATCAAGGAGGGGCTGGGGGAAGGAGCAAGAGGCCAGGGACATCTTCCTGCAGGAAGTGACAGAAAAAGGCACTCCAAGCAGATTCTGCAGGGCCCCTGGGGGCAGGAGAGGAGCACCAGGAGTGGAGCCGGAATTCCGGAAGCCCTCACTGCCTGCCACCCTCATCCAGATGGCCCCGTTCAAAGTGGTCTGAAGCCCACTCTTCCATGTCTGTTCACCTCACACAGGGCTGCTCCTTCCTCTCTGAAGTCCTCCCAGGCTGAGCACCCAGCAGGCCTCAGCAGAGCCTCTAGGGCTAGGGTTCACTTCTGTCATAGTATCTCGGTCTTAGGTGGTGAGATGCTGGGGACAGCGGTCTCCTCACCTCCCGACCCCCCACCTGCCACCTCAGGGATCATTCAGAAACAGGCAGGTCACCCCCTCCTTAAAAACCCCAAGAGCTCCCCAAGCACAGCTTTCAAAGGGGGACCCCAAGGGCTTTCCTCTGGCTTGCTGCCTCCCCCTGAGCCTCATCCCACATCTCTCCTGCCACAGGGCCTTTGCATGAGCCAGCCTCTCTCCCTACGAGGCTGCTCTGTCCTCTTCTCTGCTTCTCTTCCCCAGGCAGAGAAACACACACACGCTTATCACTTCTGTGAAGTCTTCCCAGGCAGGGTCAGTCTCCCCACAGCACTCTTTGCACATCTTTAGCTCTGGTGGGATTACTTGGGCCTGATCTTTGGGGGCAGGAACCTGGTCTCATTCCAAGCCCAGCTCTCTTCTAAACTTCAGGTGAAGCCCTTGAAGCATATGTGCAGGAAAAATTCCGCCATTACTAACTATACTGACATCACTAGAGGTGACGATCCCTTTAATAAATGGCGATAGTATGGAGGCAAAGCTTACTTCATGTTCTAGAGAAAAGACTGGTGAATAACATATATATGTCAATTGCATTCACTAGAATACATGATTTGAGTAACACAGTCATGCACCGCATAACGACGTTTTGGTCAACAATGGACCACACGTACGAAGGTGGCCCCATAAGATTGGTACCATGTAGCCTAGGTGTGTAGGAGGCTGTACCACCTAGGTCTGTGTAAGCACACTCTATGATGTTCGCACAATGATGAAATTGCCTAACTAACGCATTTCTCAGAACGTATCCCGGTTGTTAATCAACGTATGACTGTAAAGGTTTGGGAACAAACAAACTGTGACCTCATTAAGCTGAGGAATTCCTGCCCCTCCCCCAGGTTGGGGTCACCTCTGCTCTGAAAATCCCACTGGTGATGGAACACTTGATAAGGTTGTTGCCCACCGCTGTCAGACCCCACACACACGTCACGCCTCACACACACTAGTAGTGTGATGTGAGCCATCTTACTCTGTGAGCCACGGTGTTCTCTGCCCATAAAATGGGTACAAAAAACATCGCTCTTACAAGAGGTTGTTGTAAGGATCAAGTGAAAAATAACATATGTGAAAGTACTCAGGAAACTATTAGTGCCCGTAAAATTTTCTGAGCTCCAAAAACAGCCCTTTATTGCTAAGTTTATTAATAAATAATAAAATCTGTCCTTGTGGGTGTAACAGGTTTTATTACATAGAGTCTCTTGCCAATTCTTGCCCCATCAGCCTTGCTGCACCTCCCTTTGCCTGGCTCCTAGGATCTGGCTCAACTAGCGTCCCGGTAGGGCAAGGACTCAGGCTCTCTCTGCATCGCTGCATGACTTAGACCCAGGTCCTTACCCTCCCAGAGCCTGTTTTTTGGAGATGATCAAGGGATGTGGAGAGGGTTAAATGAGATGACTGACATCCAGTGCCTGGGACATGTGCTCAGTGGCCGTGAGCTCCTGGGCCACCTTGGAGGGCTCCTGGGGGGCAGGGCTCAGTAACCAAACCAGATAAGCAGATCTCTGTTTCCCAGTGGGGCCAAAGTGAGGCCAAGGTGTCACCCGGCACCATTCCTAGTTAGACCTGGTGTTGCAGAGAGCCTGGTGACAGTCTTCCCCACCCTCCCCCAAACTCCTCTAAGAAGACGCATGGAGGCCACAGCTCTCCCATTCTTCCTGGGGGTGTCAGTGGGGGGAGTACCTGGAATCTTTTCTCTCTCCTCCCCTCACACAGAAACCCCAAAAAAGGCTCTCCTCATGGAGTTTCAAGTTGCCTGACTTGCAAAGTACCTGGCCTGTTCTTTGTTTTACATTTTAAAATCCATTTTTCTCCTTAAAGATGGAGACACTTCCTTAAAATACAAGCTCTCCACCAGCATTTCTTGCTGTGTTTTTCAAAAGTCTAGCGATGGTGCCAAAAGAATGGGAAGGGAGTGAGGACGCTTGGGACTTGCTCTTGGGCCACTGAGCGGTGAATGAGGCCAGAGCCGTTCTCTCTCTTGTTCATGGCTGAATCCCAGCCTCCAGACAACGCATGACAAAGAGCAGACACTCAGTTAACAGTGATTGGACGTATGAATGAATGCGTGCAACAAATCGTCTAACTGATGTGCCAGGCCCTACCTGAGTGCTGGGACACACACAGGACTCTGCAGTCCCTGGCGCCGGTGGGCACCTGTGGCTTTAGCAGAGGCTTTCACACCCAGATCGCAAGTCTCGACACCCAGTGAAGCAGGAGTGCAATCGCCTTTTACAGGTGAGCTAAATGAGACAGAGAAACTGAGGGCTTGGCCGAGAAACAGAATCTGTGTTTCTCGTCACATTCATTCACCAGTGTCATGCTGCAGGCTCTTTCCACTGCACCTCAGTTCTTCTTGCTGTCCTGTGATACAGTTATACGGAAAAGCGCAATCTTCCAGTGGTCTGGAGCTCATCTGTCCCCCCAACCACCCAACTAGGCCAACCTTCGCTTGGTACCACCATGTGCCACGTTCTGTGCTTGGCGCCAGGGGAAAGGGAGAATGCGGGCAGGTGAATGCAAAAATGGGGTAAGACCAGGTCTCAGGGATTGTTCTTTCTACCAACAATGAAGCAGACAAAACATCTCCTCTGTGGCCACTGTGGAGAGTTTGGTGGCTCCTCAAAAAATTAAACATAGAATTACCACATGACCCAGCAATTCCACTCCTAGGTATATATATACCCAAGAAAATTGAAAACAGGGACCCAAACAGGTAGGTGTCCACTAATGTTCATAACAACATTATTCACAAGAGCCAAAAGGTAGAAACAACCCAAACGTCCATCAACAGATGAATGGGTAAATAAAACATAGTATATATACCCAATGCAATATTAGTCAGCTATAAAAAGAAATGAAGTTCTGATACATGATACAATGTGGATAGATCTTGAAAACATATGCTGAGTGAAATAAGAGACACAAAAGGACAAATATTGTATGGTTCCACAGAATATGCAAATTCACAGAGACAGAAAGTAGATTAGAGGTTACTGGAGGACGGGGTCAGAGGGGAAAAGGGAGCTATTGCATAGTGGGTACAGAGTTTCTGCTTGGACTGACGAAAAATTTTGGAAATAGTGGTGATGGTTGCACAACATTATCAATGTGATTAATGCCACTGAATTGTACACTTAAAAATAGTTAAAATGGAAAATTTTATGTATATTTTACCACAATTTTTTAAAAGGACAAACACACACAAAATATGATAGCTGTAGTGTAGGAGTAGACATGAATCTGTGGAACAGAACAGCAAGTCTAAAAACAAAGCAGACTATTCAGGTGGTACCAACACAATGAGAAAAGTGCTCATGGCGGGGGTGGGGGTGACCGAATATAAGAAAGCAAAACGACTAACTTAGAATAAAATACAGAAAAATCTGTTTATAACTTTAGCAATGAGAAGACCTTCTTATGCAAGATAGAAAATGATGACACCATAAAGGAAAACATGTTTCCTGTGGCGGTACAGTCTTTGAACTGGACAATCTGGCAGGATCTAATAAAATTTCAAATACCCACAAATACACATATCCTCTAACCCCTGGGATCTATCCTAGAGAAATGTTCCCAAGAGCCACGTTCAAGGGCATTCCCTGAAGCACTTTTTCTAAGGAAAAAGCAGAAACAACTTAAATGTTCCCACAATAGCAGAACGTTGAAATAAACAAGGGCACGGCAATTCTAAGGAATACTATGCAACAGTTAAAAAGAATGAGGTTGGTCTAAAAATGCTAGGAAAGAAAATAAAAAGCAAAACTCGACACCCTGGATCACTCCAAATGGATCTGCTCGCTTACCAGCCTCGTCCTCATTTTCAAAGGATCCGGTAGGTGGAGAACACACCAGTGTGACGCCATCTGAAGAGCTGCCACACTTGAAACAAGGGCTTGGAGCGTCCTACTCCAGTGGCTACTCAGAGGAGGGAAAGTCAGGAAAGGGGCAGCTGGGCTGGGGTGTTGGTACTCGTGCATGTAGTGGGGGCCAAGGGAGAGAAGGAAGCAGGAAAAAAACCTATAAAAACAGCAGGAAAGCAAGCTAAGGTAAGATAATGTGAAGGTCAGAGGTCATACCCAGTGCAGGAAAATTCCAACCATACAGGCCGAGACACGTTAAGTGATATCAACATGTCCTCAGATGCTGTTCTAGGTCATTTTCTCTCCTCCTACTTCTGGCCAGTCACAGGGTTGAAACTTAGATCATTCATGGAGGATCCTCTGTTATAGCAAAGGAGGGCAGCCTTGCAAATGGCTTTTCCCCAAATCCTGAACCTGCAAAAACACTTGGCTTTGGTCTCATTGAGTGTCCTAGTGTCCCCATGTTGGTGCCACCCCACTCCACTTCTTCCAGCTCCTTCCTATCTCAGGAAGGGGAGGGGTCCCGCATCTTCTGAGGATCCATTATCATATTTCAACCTCACAATTACTGTAATTCGAAAGGTAAGCAATATGCCCAAGATCATGCAACTAACAAGGATCAAGGCCAGGATCCGCATCAGAACCTGGGTCTGTTTACACCTAAAACGCATGCTCCTCCTGTTAGCTGATGCTGCTGAGGAAGCTCTTACCGAGTACCCGCCATGTGCAAGAACACTGGTAAGGCTCTAGGGGATGTAAAATTAGTCAAGTCCTGATCTCAAGACAGCCTAAGTGTGCTGGTGAAGAATATAAGCGAGAGTACATGGGAAAATGACTATAACATCATATTCGATTGGTAAGAGAAGCATTACCAGAGCGCTACAGAGGTCAAGGGTGGGGAGAGAACACAACAGGCAGAGAAAGACCGTGGAGACAAGGAATGTTGTTTGTTTGGGGCATGTCCAGAAAATAGCAAAACCAACATGTGATTTGTTGGGCTCCTTCCAACCCTTTCTGCTGTGCCCTAAGAAATCCCTCGTGCCATTACAAAAAAAAAAAGCAAATGACAACAAAAAACTGACAAACCAACACAAAGAACTCCCCCATCCTCAAAGTCTTCTCAGCACCCTCTCTCTCTCCATCTCCTTGTTTATTATTACAGATGATTATTACAGTGTACAGAAGAGAAGAGACCAACAACAGAGCCTCAGAGGAAGCCTCCACCAAGGATGGGCGGAGCGGCCACTGGGGGACACAAGAAAGCAGACCGCGCGGTAGGAGGGGCTGAGGACTGGAGGCTGCCCCAAAAGGAGGAGGACGTGCTCAATCCTGCAGGGAGATCCTGAGGACGAGAACTGGTGCGATATCGCGGCAAGTGCTATGAAGGAAGGAAGTGGGACGTTTCCCATTGCCCCAGAATCGGCTGCGGCAACCCAAAGCTGGGGCCCAAGTGGTGATATGTGTTCCACATTCTACAGAGGCTCAGACAGCTCCCACCCAGTTTCCTAGGAGGCAGCCAGACCACCAGACTGCTCCACAAACCACTGAGGTTGTGCAGGATGCAGGATTGCGCAGGGGAGGGTATCACTGACGCAGCCTGGGGCTCAGGTGTGATGATGCCTGAGCTGAGTTTTGAAAGACAAGCAGTAGCTGCCATGGTGAAGCAGGGCGCTAAGCCTGTTCTTGGAAAAAGTGGGGTAGCTGTGTCACAGCTTGGTGTCACTTGGACGTAAAATCCAAGGCAAGGAATGCTGGCAGGTGCGCTGGACACTCGAGAGTCATGGAGGAGACAGCCTGCATGACAAGACTATCCTGAAGGTCTGTGACTCCAATGGGAGGGGGAAGCTTTTCCAAATTGCAGGTGCTCCCTCCCCAACCAGGAGATTTCTTGCATGCTGCTCTTACCCCCAAACTATAGCAGACGAGACTGACTGATGGAGGGGGCCGTGGTCAGTGATGGGTGTTTGGCAGGGGACATGAGCAGGTCCGAGTTTTAGAGGCACCACTGGCACCGGTGCGGAGGACAGCTCCAAAGATGGCCAGGTTGAAAGCAGAGACCAGTGAGGAGGCTGCTGCCATGGTCCAGGCATGAAATGATGAGGCCTGACGCTGAGCAGTGAAGGACGGAAAGAGAGGAGGGAACAGAGTCAGGACACACCCAGGAGGGAAAACGCAGCAGGACAGCGTCATAGACAGCGTAGGAGCACAGCAGTGGCGGGGCAGGCTGACTTGTAGTTTTCTGACTACAATTAATTAATAGAGCAATGGTCCCACTAAGGCAAGATGGGATGGGATCCGAGCACAGAGGTGGTGTCAGCTTCAGACAGGAGGAGAGATACCTCCCATCTCAACAGGCGGGAGGTGGAACGGATGGGTTTGAGTTCACATACATTTAGAGGTCCGGTGGAGGGAAGCAGAGAGCATTTGCACCTGAGGACTTTGGTTTTCTGTATAAAGCAGAAGACAAATAAGCAAGGAGGGATCAATGAGCTGGAGACCTGAGGAGCAGGAAGGTGAAACAGTCACTATTGAGAAAGGGGTGAGGCAGAGAAGAGGGTCACCGAGCAGTGCTGGAGGCCCAGGTGTATGCGGAGGCCATTTTGTCTTTTGATTTTGGTTATGGTATCTTTTCTTGTACTAAAGCTTTTAATTTTTACATAGCCAAATCTATTGACTTTTCCTTTATAGCTGCTAGGTTTTCTGGCATGCTTTAAAAAGCCTCCCCCCTATATGGCAGTTTCAAACCAAAACAAAACAAAGCAGGACCATATGTGCTGATATTAAAAATATCCATGTATAATATGGATAATATATATATTAGTGAAATAGCTCAGGAAGTCGATATTGATAACATGCTTGCAGACACACAGACTGTCTCAGGAAGATCATACAGACTGTAAGGGGGCTGCTTCTGGGGAGGTGATTGGCTGGAGCAGATGTTACAGAAGTCACAGGGCAGGGGGCAAAGGGGATATGAGCAAGACGGACTGAAGGCAAGGACCCACTGGCCAACGGGAGAGAGAGCAGATGTGTTTCAGACACAGTGGTTCCTGACCCAAGAACAGGGATCACCAGGGAGCAGAGGAGAGTACACAGGATAGACCACATTTTGTACTAAGGTTTGTCATAAACCTATTTGGTACTAAGTACAAAAAGGTTAAGTAGCTTTCACAAAGGTACATAGCTAACAGGGCGTTGCATTCTGGCTCCGGGGCCTATTTAACCTTCACCGTTATGCTATGTCACCTCTCACAACAACACACGACGTGGAAAAGCAGGTTTGAGCACAATTTTGTTAAAAAAATTAGAAATATATATGTGTATGTGTATATATGTCTGTGTGTGTGTGTGTGTATATATATTTATATGCAGACATTGGAAAGAAATACATCAAAATGTTAACAGTAGTTATCGGGGTGGGATGTGAAAAAAATTTTTTTAGCTTTTCTACAATTAGCATTAATATTATTAACAGAAGAAAATGTTATTTAAAATAATCACTGGAATGGGCAAGCATCAAAGACATTTTACAAAAATAGACACTCTGGAAAAAGATACCTTGGCAACATACCCTGAGAATTTGAATAAACAAAAAAGTATTCTGCTTGATTCACAGGGTCATAGTGGAAAGAACGTGAGGTTTAGAAGACCCTGGGTTCAGGCTACTTGGCAAAGTGTTAACTCCCAAAGCCTCCATTTCCTTATATAAAATAAATGTGAAAATAATAAAACTTGCTTCACATGGTTGTTGTAGAGACCAAGTGAGACACTGCAGATGAAAAAAATTCTGTCAATCAATTAAACCATGTTAATTTAATATTATTATTCATTCTAACTTTTACTCTTGTATTAAGGCAGTGGCATATACCCAATTCAAAATTAAACTGTGATTGCAAAATACAGTGCCAATTCATGACTAATCAATCACTTTGATTTCATAAAACAGACATTCCATGGCTTGTATTACTGAGCCATAATAAGAGGATGAATATCCCAACTCAAAAAATCACTGTTGGGTACAATTCAAGAGGACTACTTCCCTGACAAGCAGCCCTGCATACCCAGCCCCAGGGCTCCATGATCTCCCTGGAAGCCAAGGCCATGTTCTCCGCCTGCCTACAGCTATTTGAAGCTTCCAGGCATCCTCTGCCCACAATGGCTCTTAATCCTTTCTGTACCAAACCAAAGACAGACTCAGTGCTCTAAAATGCCTACCTGTCTACATCCCTTCTTCCCTCTTGCCTCAGTGTTGGGAGGTGTCCCTCTTCCTGCTGAGGCCAGCTTCTCCAAAGGATTCCTGTCCTGAGCTTTCCTATCTTGTAAAGCCATCATCCCCATGGGCCTTAGAGCACTATCAGCTCACCACTAGACTAGACTGTAACAATCTCCCTGTTTCCACTCTTGGCTACCCATAGTCTATCCTTCTATGCAGCCAGAATAATCTTTTAAAAGTTGAGATAGAATTCAGATACCACAGAATTCACCATTTTGCATTCCCATCAGCAAAGTACGAGGGTTCCAATTTCCTTGACGGGCCCAAGGCGATGACTGCTTTAAAACTAACTTATGTTTCCTTCCAAAAGTTTTATAGGTTTAGCTCTGGCATTTAGGTCTTTGATCCATTTGGAGTTCATTTTTGTATAAAGTGTAAGGTAGGGATCCAACCTCATCTTTTGCATATGGATATCTGCTTGTCCTAGCACCATTTGTTAAAAAGACTCTTCTTTCCCCATTGCATGGTCTTGCTGCCCTTGTTGAAAATTAACTGACCACACAGATATATGGATTTATTTCTGGACACTCAATTTTATCCCACTGATCTATATTTCTATCCTTATACCACTACCACACTATCTTGATTACTGTAGCTTTGCAGTAATTTTTGAAATGGGGAAGACTGAGTCTACCAACTTTGTTCTTCTTTTTCAAGATTGTTTTGGCTATTTGGGGTCCTCTGAATTTACAGATGAAATTTAGTATCAGCTTGTCTATTTCTGCAAACAGGCAGTTGAAATTTTGATAATGATTGTATTGAATCTGTCAATCTATTAGGGGAGTATTGCCATGTTAACAATATTAAGTCTTCTGACCCACAAACATGAGATGCCTTTCCTCTATTTAGGTCTTCTTAAATTTTTTTCAACGTTTTATAGTTTTCAGTATACATGTCTTGCATATCTTTGGTTAAATTTATTCCTAAGTATTTTATTCTTTTTGATGCTATTATAGATGGAATTATATTCTTAATTTCATTTTTGGATTTTTCACAGCTAGTGTATAGAAATACAACTGATTTTTAAAATATTGATCTGGTATCCTGCAACCTTGCTTGACTCATTTATTAACCCTAATAGTTTTCTTTCTTTTTTTTTAAGTTGTTGTTGTTGGATTCTTTAGGGTGTTCTATATGTATAAGATCATGTCATCAACCAATAGAGATAGTTTCACTTCTTCTTTGCCAATCTGGATGCCTTTACTTCTTTTCTTGCCCAATTGCCCTTGTTAGAACCTCCAGTACAATCTTGAATAGAAGTGGTGAGAGCAGACATCCTTGTTTTGTTCCTGATCTTAGAGGGGAAACTTCAGGCTTTCACTATTAAGTATGATGTTAGCTCTGAGTTTTTTGCAGATGCTCTTTATCAGGCTGAGGCATGTCTTAATTTCTCCTTTATTTTTGAAGGATAGTTTTACCAAATATAGAATTCTTGGTTGGTGGTTCTTTTTCTCCTTTCATCACTATGAATATGTCAACCCACTGCCTTCTGACTTCCATGGGTTTTTTTTTTTTCTTTTTTTTAATGAGAAATCAGCTGTCAATCTTATTGAGGATCCCCTGTACATAATAAGTCACTTTTCTCTTGCCATTTTCTCTCTGTCTTTGGCTTTTGATAGTGGGATTATCAGGTGTCTAGGTGGGGATCTCTTTGAATTTATCCTACATGGAGTTCATTGAGTTTCCTACATGTGTAGATTAATGTTTTTTTCATCAAATTTGGTATGTTTTTGGTCATTATTTCTTCAAATATTCTTTCTGCCCCTTTCTCTCTCTCTTCTCCCTCTGGAACTCCCATTATGCGTATGTTGGTCAGCTTGGTGGTGTCCCAAAGGTCTCTGCCCCACAAGTTCATTTATCTTCATTGTTTTTCTTTCTGTTCCTCAGACTGGATAGTCCAAGTTCGCTGATTCTTTCTTCTGCCTGCTCAAATCAGCTGCTGAGTCCCTCAGGTGAGTTTTTTGTTTGAGTTATTGTTTCAATTCTACAAATTTTTTTGGTTCCTTTTTATAATTTCTATTTATTATCTCTATTTGAGACTCCATTTTCATACTTTCCTTTCATTCTTTAGATATGGTTTCCTTTAGTTTTTTGAACATATTTAAAATAAGCTGATTTAAAGTATTTGTCTAGTAATTCCAACTTCTGGGCTTACTTGGGGAGTTTCAATTCATTGCTTTTTTCCTCGTGTATGGATATTTTCTTATTGTTTCTTTGCATTTTTCATAATTTGTCCTGCAAACTGGACATTTCAAATAATATAATGCGGCAACTCTGAAAACCAGATTCTGTCCCCTCCATAGGGTTTGTTGTTATCGCTGTTATTGTAGTTGTTGCTTGGTGACTTACCTGAACTAATTCTGCAAAGTCTGTGTTCTATTTCATGAGTGAGCACTGAAGTCTTTGCTTAGTTAACTTAGTCAGCTAATGATTAGACAGAGATTTCCTTAACCTCCTGGATCCAATAACTTTCCCACCCTTTACTGAGGGGCTCTGTGTGAGTGTTGGGGCATGCCTTCAACACTCAGCCAGGCAGTTTATAACTCTGCCTCAGCTTTCATGTCCTGCTTGCGCTGAGCTTCAAGGTCAGTCAGGAGTGAGAGATTATTGCCTTTTCAAGTCTTTTCTGAACATGCACAGCGCCAACACATGTGCATGGCCTTCTGGATTCCAGGAATATGTCAGAGCTTTTAAAAGCCCCCGATGGACATCCCATTCCTCCCATCCCATCCCATCCCATCCCCATCCTTTTGAGCTTTATGTTAGTCTATTGTTTACCCCAACTGTAATCCATTGCCTCAGGCAGCTGTGATGTTAAAATATTTGACAAATGTCCCTGGTGAAAGGCTTTTAGCATTGGGACAGTTTAAGTAAGGTCAAAAAAGGACAAGCCTTCCAAGTGCGGTCTTCAAGGGAACCACTAGATAGGTCAAATAATGAACATTCTATCTGATCTGGCTGCTGCCTAACTCTGCCACATGGAGTTTCTGAGTTAGGAGCTCCTCTGGGTCAGTTTCTCCAGTCTGGTCCACAGCTGCAGGATAAATGCCTGTCTGCTGGAATGCAAGGCCGGGGGTGGGGGGCGAGTTCTTACAGACTGATATCCCCTCCACTTGATTTCAGTCCTGCCTCCCTGCCCCACTCCCACTCCCACCGTGATGCCTCCAAGCTCAAGCCAGTCTGGGCCCAGCAGAGCATATTTGCTCTCCTGTTAGCATCTCTTCAATTCTTTCCAGAATGTGTTGAAATAGCTCATTTGATAATGATCCCTCTCCCATTCTTTGTCCTTGTGGGTCTTTATCATTCTCATTTCTTTCCTATTATTGTAGCAAATCTTGGGAGATAAAGGTGTGTAACCAATCTGCCACTTTAGCTGGAGTCCTTTGCTGTGTTTTGACATATGAAGCCTGTTCAGGGTTGAATTACATCCCCCCCAAAAGATATGTTAAAGTCCTAACCTCCAGTATCTTATTTAGAAATAGGGTTGTTGCAGATATAAATATAATAGTCGAGATGAGGTCATCCTGGAATAGGGTGGGCCCTTAATATGACTGGTGTCCTTATCAATAAAGAGAGACTCAGGGATGCACATGGAGAATTCCTTCTGAAGATGGAGACAGAGGTTGGGGTGATGTGCCTACAAGCCAAGGAACACCAAGGATTGGCAGCAACAACCGGGAACAAGCAGCAGCAAAGCAAGATTCTTTTCTGTAGGTTTCAGAGGGCGCATGGCCCTGCTAACAGCTTGACTTTGTACTTCTAGCCTCCAGAACAGTGAGACAACAAATTTCAGTTGTTTTAAGCCACCCAGTGTACAGCACTTTATTACAGCAGCCCCAGGAAACTAACACAGAGCCCTTAACTTACTGTGATAACATAAGTCAATGTTTTTTTCACTGTGATATTTTTGACTGCTTTATAACTCAGAGGTCCTCCCCTACCCCAAAATCCTTCTATCTTCTTCAAGGAATTTTTTTTAGTGGTTTGGTTCTTTTTTTTTCTCTCCTTCAAATTTAACTTTTTAATCTATCTGGAATTTATCTAGGCATACAGCCAGAGGTGAGAATCTAAAACATCCTCTACTCTTCCCAAAGAGCTAACCAAATGGGCCTCGCCTAATTTATCAAATGATCTTTCCATTCTTATTGACTTGTGAGGTCACCTGTCATATAATTAATTTTTTTGTGTATAAAAGTATGTTTCTGGGCTATTCATTCTATTCTACTGATCTGTTTATTCTTAAGCCATTAATTAAGTCACTGTTTTAATCATTAAAATGTGTTTTGATATTTAGTAGGGCAAGTTTCTCCTTGCTGCAATCTTTTTCAAAGTTTTTAAGTTATTCTCATTTTTTTATCCTTCCAGATAAACTTAAGTTCCAAAATAAATCCTACTGGGGTTTTGGTTACAAATGGGATAAGTATAAATTACATTAGGAAGAGCTGATATCTCTACAAATTCCATAGTTTCCATCGGAAACAATGTACGTCTCTCCATTAATTCATCTGCTTTATATCTCTCAGTAGAGCTTTATATTTTCATCAGACTCCTCTATCTAAAATACCGCCCCAAGTCACTCCTTATCTCTTTATCCTACTTTGCATTTATAATATTCATCATTATAAGAAAAATAAGAAAAGCAGCTAATATTTAAGGGGCTCACTAGATGCGACGCACTGTTGTAAGCTCTTTTGTAAGTATCATCTCACTAAATTCTTGCAACAACCTGAGTCAGTACCCATTATTTCAACAATAATAATTTTTTATTATATTATATAACAATAATTATTATTGTTGAACAATAGGTAATAATAATAGGTATCACTGTTGATTATTAAAATAATAATTGTATTATTTCAACAATATGAGTCAGTACACATGAAAAAACTGAAGTACAGAGAGATAATTAGTTCAAGGTCATCGCAGAAGAACCAGGTTTCAAACCCAGGCAATTTTACTCTGGAGCCCATGGTTTTATCTAAAAGTCAGTATTTTTACTATTCAGCTGTAAAAAGGAACGAGGAAGCCTTTTATATGCTGATATAAAACAACTGCCAAGGGGCCAGCCCGGTGGCATAGCGGTTCAGTTCGGGAGGTCTGCCTCAGTGGCCATGGGTTCGTGGGTTTGGATCCCAGGTGCAGACCTACATACCGCTCAGCAAGCCATGCTGTGGCAGTGGCCCATATATAAAGTAGAGGAAGATGGGCACGAATGTTAGCTCAGTGACAATCTTCCTCAAGCAAAAAGAGGAGGATTGGCAACAGATGTTAGCTCAGGACCAATCTTCCTCACCAAACACCACCACCACCACCACCACCACCAACTGCCAAGATATTTGGTTAAGTGAAAAAGCAAGACTCTGTACTATCATTTG